CCAGCCTGCGCAGCCAGCACCGGGAGCTGGGTGAGTCCCTGCCCTTCCCGCTGTCTGCCACTCACCCGTAGGAGCCCAGAACTTCGCCTTACACTCCTCCGTCTCTCACTGCCCTCGTCCCACATCCATACCACCCAGCACCGGGGTGGAGGGTTCCATCCCGCCCCTCCTGCTCCACCATCCCAGCCTCAGAGTGCAGCTCCATCCCGGGCCCATGCTTTGGGGCCCCAACAATTTAGAATTGCACCTGTTGGCGTTTCCTTCCCTAATCTACTCTGGGTTCTGCGGGTCACTGACTTGTGAAGCCAGGCTCAGGCGCCATGTCCTTTCAGGCCCCACCCCCACCCCCAACACTACCAGGGTCTGCTGTCTCCTGGGCCCCTGCTCAGCCCTGACATCCCACTTCCTTTTCCTGCCCTCCACTTCCAATTCCTGGGCTCTGGGTTCTTGCCCTGAGGTTTTACCCACCTTCCTTTCCGGTCGGGAAGCCTGTGTATCCCATCCCTCCCCAGTCTCGGACACCAGCTCCCGAGCTGACCCACTCTGCCCACCTCTGCAGGTGAGATGCTGCTGCAGAACTTGACGGTGCAGGCCGAGTCGCCCTTCGGAGTGGGTGCCCTCACTCACCTGCTGCTCTCCGGGAGCCCTGAGGACCGTGTGGCCTGTGCACTGACCTTGCCCTTCATTTGTCGGTGAGGGGGATGGGGGTGCTTGCAGGGGGCAGGGAGCGAGGTTGCTATTGCCTGGTCGCACCTTTTCCACCTTCTGAAAGATTCTCTCTCCCCGTAGGAAGCCCTCTCTGTGGCGCCGGCTCCTTCTGGACCAGGGCGGCCTCCGGCTCCTCCTCTCGGCCCTGACGCGGCCAGCTCCGCACCCACTCTTCCTCTTCTTCGCTGCAGACTCCCTCTCCTGCCTCCAAGGCCTGGTGTCGCCCACTGCGAGCCCAGCCCTCCCACCTGCAACCCCCTTGGACCCAGACCCGCCCTCCCATTGCCTCTATGAACCTCTGCTGGGCCCAGCTCCCGTCCCAGCCCCGGATCTGCACTTCCTGCTGGACTCGGGCCTCCGGCTCCCTGCACAGCGAGCTGCCTCATCCACCGCCTCCCCTTTCTTCCGGGCCCTGCTGGCCGGCAGCTTTGCTGAAGCCCAGATGGACCTGGTACCTCTTCGAGGCCTGTCACCCAGCGCGGCCTGGCCGATCCTGCATCACCTGCACGGCTGCCGGGGCTGTGGGGCAGCGCTGCGGCCCATCCCCCCGCCAGGCCAGCCCCTGCTGGGCTCTGAGGCCGAGGAGGCACTGGAGGCCGCTGGCCGCTTCCTGCTGCCTGGGTTGGAGGAGGAACTGGAAGAGGCTGTGGGCCGGATCCACCTGGGATCCCAAGGTGGCCCAGAGTCAGTGGGTGAGGTATTCCGCCTGGGCCGGCCCCGGCTGGCTGCCCACTGTGCACGCTGGACCCTGGGGCCAGGGCAGTGCCCACGGAAGCGGGCTCTGGCTTTAGTGGGGCTTGTGGAGGCAGCAGGCGAGGAAGCAGGTCCCCTGACTGAGGCTTTCCTGGCTGTGGTGATGGGAGCTGAAGTGGGGAGCAAGGGGCCCAGCCTAGACTCTTGATATCCCCTCGGAGGGGACCTGAGAATGAATTACAAGAAGGCCTCCCTCAGACTGGCTGAGGGGGGATAAGCAGCAGTCACCACTGAGGACCGACGAGGTTGGAACTGGGCCCCAGGACGATGGGCTGAAGACTCAGGAGTGAGAAGCCGAGGCCAAGGTCTGGGCGTGGGGCCCGCGAGATGGAGACGAGCCCAGCCTTCGGGAGTGGGATTAAAACTTTGGAGTTGGATATTCCTGTTGTGTGTGTCTCTGCTTACTTTCCTGTGGGCATCTCCTCACCCTTCACCCATCAGGAGGGTCTTGTCTAGGTCTCTGTGCCTCAATATAGGCCGCCCTGCCATGTCGGAGTTGAGTAGTGATAGGCCGTGGTTCCCGGAGCCCTGGGATAGGGTAGAGCTCCAGGCTTGTCTCGATGAGGTTATGGGCCTAAGGGAAGCCTGCTTCCTGCTCCCGTGACTTCATTACTCAGACAGCCACTCAGCTGACCAGACTTTGCTCAGGCTGAGCAGGCTGTGCTGAGGGAATGCTGTGAGTTTGGTGAGGTATGGCCATGGCCCTAGCATTGCTGTTTTCTGATAGCCCTGCCATCACCCACCTTGGCCTTCCATCTCTGGGTCTGTTTTCACCTCTTGGGCCAAGTGTCCTCCTGCTGTGTTCTTGCCTTAGTCATGCCCAGAGAGAGCCTGGCATTGAGGTGAGGGAGGAGCTTGTGTTATTTTGGTCTCCAATGCAGAGCCTCCGTCACCTGGCTCCCAGGTCACTGAGCACGCAGGTGGCAGCCTAGTAGAATGCCTGGACTGAGTCTGTCATTGGCCTCAGAGGAGGCTGGCACTGCTGTCTCCATGAGTGCCTGTCTGTCCAGGTGTCTGATCAGGCTGTGCATTAGGACCACCAGGGAGCTTGTTAAAGATATTTACACATATTGATGCCTGAGCCCCTTCTGATTGAATTGGGCTGAGGGGAGGGTACCTGGACACCAGATTGTTCTGATTTGCTGCTCTTTTTGTTTTGTTTTTTTCTCCTTCAGTTTAATTGACATGGCCTATTGCCTTGCAGAAAAAACATGAATTGAAGATCAGTTCTTGTACAGATCTCAGCTCAATATCGGAGTTATTTTATAAGAGATAGTATTACCAGATGTAACTATACCATTGAGAACTATCTATGACACTATGATTCTTATTATAGAGGCTCAGTGCACAAAATCTGTGCACTCATCGGGGGGCAGGGGCCCTCCCTCAGCCTGGCCTGTGCTCCATCACAGTCAGAAGCCCTCGGGGGATGTCTGACTGACAGCTTAGGCCCACTGTCAGTCCGACATCCTTAGCGCTGCTGCCACTGCACTCACCAGCCATGAGCCCAGCTTCTGGCTGAACAGAGCTCCCCTGTGAGAGTGCACTGACCACCAGGGGGAAGCTTCTGTGATGAACATCTGCCCCCTGGTGGTCAGTGCACATAATAGCAATCAGTTATTCCACCACTTGATCTATTTGCATATTAGCCTTTTATTATATAGGATTTTTTTCTGAATTATAGTTTAAAACAAGGATTGTACCCTATTGTACCTTTGTAAGTCTTGTTTTTAGCATTTACTCCATCTACAACAGCATTGTATACCTCAATTCCACATCCAAAAAGGTGTGCACAGAAAGAAGTTACTTTTTAAGTAAAAATGACAGCCCTGTCTGGTGTGATCAGTGGTTAGAACATTGGCCCACACGTTGAAGGGTTGCAGGTTTGATACCTGGCCCTGGTTGGGGCACATGTGGGGAGGCAACAAATCAATGTGTCTCTCTCACATCAATGTTTCTTTTATCCCTTACCTCCCTCTCTCCCTTCCACTCTCTCTAAAAAAATCAATGGAAAAAAATATCTTTGGGTAAGGGTTAACTCACTCACTCAATAAACAAACAATAGGACAGCCAGCGTGGCTCAGTGGTTGAGCAAGCGACCTATGGACCAGGAGGTCACAGTTCGATTCCCGGTCAGGCCATATGACCAGGTTGCAGGCTTGATTCCCAGTAGGGCGAGTGCAGGGGGCAGCTGATCGGTAATTTTTATCATCATTGATGTTTCTCCCTCTCCCTTCCTCTCTGAAATCAATAAAAATAAATTTTTAAAAATTAAATAATTAAAATTACACATATAAATCAAAGCCTATGTGAAATATTAAATACTCTCTCCACTTAACAAAACCACCATTTTATATGGAATAATTTGCAATGATGCTATTATTATATTTTGTAAATGCAATGAGAGGAAACCCATTCTTTCGTGGCATGGTGGTGGGCACATCAGCTCATGTGGCCTGCTGAATTTTGAAGACTCAGTGCTCAGGTCTGGATCGAGACCCACAGTCCAGTGGCTACAGCACCATTGTGTCTGTCCATACCAACTATAGAGGGTCTCATTTCAATCTTTTAAAAAATATATATATTTTTGTATTGATTTTAGAGAGGAAGGGAGAGAAACATCAATGATGAGAGAGCATCATTGATCAGCTGCCTCCTGCATGCCCCCTACTGGAGATCAAACCCACAACCCAGGAATATGTCCTGACCAGGAATTGAACTGTGGTCTCATGGTTCATAGGTCGATGCTTAACCACTGAGCCACACTAGCCAGGCTCGTTTCAATCCCGATTTCTCAGAGTATTGGTCCAAGGAGGGCTTCTTGTTCCTTTGTGGCTGGCTGGTGTGTATGTCTTGCCTTCTTTGCTGTGTTCATTGTATCTTTGGAAACAGGTCTGGGATGCCTCTTGGGGAAGGGCCTTGTCTTGCAGGCGGGCCGGGGGCTGGCTGCCTGGGAGTGTTTCCTCAGCCTGCACGGCCTGGGTTTCAGTGGAACTCTGTTTTCCAGTCTTGGAGGAAAGGCCCTGCCTTTCGGTCTGAGGAGGGTCCATTGTGTCTGTGTCTGTCTCAGAGATGTCTTTGCAGTTAGTATTGTGCCTTTGGGGTCTCTGTTTATGTCCTGTTTATCTGGGTCTCTAAGGAAAAGTCTCTGAAGTGGGATCTGCCTGAGTTTCAGAACATCATTTCTGCTCCAGCCCCAAACCCTGCCTAGAGTAAGCCTCAGGAAAGGCTGGGTGGGAGCGGGCTCTGTCTGAGACTCGGGGTGCTAACTCGGAGAGGTGTCTGCTTGGGGGCCTCGGTCTGAGTCTGAGGGTGGCACGGGGCGGACGGTCCCTCCCGGGCACCGTCTGGAAGAGCCACTTCTCTGGCTCTGGCCGCGGCCGCCTGGGGCTCCTTGCAGCCGAGGCCAAGGCTGGGGTGTGGCTGCCTCCCCGCAAGCAGGCTGGCGGGCTGGGCCTGCGTGGACCGCAGCCCTCCCTCCCTTACACGCCCCCACCCAGGATTCTCCCCTTCGTTGCCCCCCACCTTTCCCTCCAGCCCCATCCCAACGGATCCCGGCTTCCTTACATGGTCACGGCTGGGCCTCCAGCTCCCGGACGTCCTCCCCCCCACCCCGCCCTCCGCCCCCACCGGACACGGCCCCCGCCCTGCGAGCCCAGCGTGGTCCGCCTGTGCCCCACCATGGAGGACCTGGGTGAGTAGGGCCGGGTCCCCTGCGCCCAGCCCCTCATCACCCTCTGGACCCGCTCCCCATCCTGGCGCCCCCGGCCCTCCCGGCATCTCCCCATCCTGCCTCCGGTCTGCTCGCTCCTGCGCTCAGCCCGTGCCTCTTTCCGACTCCACGTCCCCCTTCCTGCCTCTCCCTTCCTGCCTCTCCCGGCCGCCGCTCCCTCCCCCTCCTCCCGGCCCCGCACCCCCGCTGCGGCCGCCGGGAGATACGGGCTCCGCGGTTCCAGGATGGGAGGGTCGGCGGGGTCCTGGGTCCGGGATGGGAGAGGAGGCAGGAAAGGGAGGCTTGGATATCAAGTTGTGGAAAAGAAGGGCCTGCCCGGGGGGTGGGGAGGAAAGGGTTAAGGGTCCCTAAGTTTGGTGGGTGCCGGGAGAGGTTAGGGTCCCGGCGAGGTGCTCTAGGTGAAGGGTGAGGGGGCAGGGACTTGTGGGTTCTGGAAGGGAAAGGGGGTGAGGGTGGGGTGGGGTGGGGTGGTAGTCGTGTCGGGGGAGAAGGAGGCGGCATTCTGTGCTCCCCGTCTCTTGGAACTGGGGCTGGGAGGCTGTGCCCTCCAAATGTGAGACAGAAGGGGTTCCAGCGCCCTGCCAGAGGGGGCGCTGCTCCGTAGGAGTAGCGGGCACTGGTACTGCGGGGAATGAGCCAATCAGGAAGCAGGTCCCCGCAGACCCACCAATGAGGTGCGTAGGGTGGGGCCGGGGGCCTGGAGGTGAGCCAGAGCGGAGCGGGCCGGGCCGGGTCCGGAGGAATTAGTGGGCGGGGCAAAGAGCGCCCAATCAGAAGGCCGGGTGCCAGGCATGCAGCCAATTGAGCAATTTGGGGTGGAGTCAACGTTGGCTTCGGTTAAGAGCCAATTTTGACTGCATTAGGGAAGATTTTAAGAATAAAAAAAAAATCAGACGGCTGGGTTTGTGCACGACTCCCAGGAAGAGCCAATTGGGATATTCTGGCCGAATGTATTCCTTCCTGCCCTTCCACTTCTCCGCCTGGCTCTGGCCTTGTCTCCTTCTGAAGGCCGGCTTCTGTCCTCACATTCTGCCCACTGGGAAGCCTTATCCGTTGGTATCTTAAGGCCCTGTCTCTGCCCTAACCTTGACCTCTCAACTTCTCACCTTGACGGCCTCCCTGCAGATGCCCTGCTCTCGGACCTGGAGACCACCACGTCACACATACCAAGGTCAGGGGCTCCAAAAGAGCGGCCCCCAGATTCCCTCACTTCTCCGCAGCCCCATGGCCACCAGCCACAGGTGAGATCAGATGCTGTGGACTGGGGCAGCCAGCAGGGCTAGTCTGGCCAAGGCGAGGGGAATCTGGGCCTGAGTGAGGCAAAGTATTCGACTACCACCCCACACCTGTGCCCCTCTCTCTGTAGATGGGGACTGGGGAGTCTTCTGGAGCCTCTGGGGACAAGGACCATCTATACAGGTAAGAGGTCTGAGGACGGGGGGGACGAGGAAGCCAATTGAGACTCCGGTGGGTGAGAAGTCTTAGATTCCCCGCCCTGAACCCAAGCTCCCGCCCTGTTTCCCAGTACCGTGTGCAAGCCTCAGTCCCCGAAGCCTGCCGCCCCTGCGGCTCCTCCGTTCTCCTCCTCCAGCGGCGTCCTGGGCACAGGGCTCTGTGAGCTAGACCGGCTGCTTCAGGAACTCAATGCTACTCAGTTCAACATCACAGGTACCATGGTTACTGAGACAGGCCCTGATCCTGATGGGCTGGGGCAGGCAGGGCAGGGCAGAGGGTAAGGGTATAGATTTCCCGGGGCAGCAGCTACAAGGACACAAAGCCTTAGGTGGGAGGGTGTGCAGAGCAGGCCCCGCGTCCAGTGCCCTTCTCTCGTCTCTGCAGATGAAATAATGTCCCAGTTCCCATCTAGCAAGGACACGGCCGGGGAGCAGAAGGAGGACCAGTCTGAGGACAAGAAACGGCCCAGCCTGTGAGTTCGGCAGTTGCCAGGTCTAGGAAAGGTGACTGGTCTCGGATGCCCGAGTTCCCAGAGGGAGCGTTACAGGGGAGGCTCCGAGCTGACACAGCTTGTTCTTCACAGCCCGCCCAGCCCCTCCCCGGTCCTCCCCAAACCTTCGGCCACCTCGGCCACCCTGGAGCTGGACAGACTGATGGCCTCGCTCTCTGACTTCCGAGTCCAGAACCATGTGAGTCAGCAGCAGGGTGGGCCAATGTGGTTTGCGGCTCCCTAACCCATCTGAGACCTTGCCACGTCGGTTGCCTGGCTGACTCAGCTGACATCCCCCCTGTTGTAGCTCCCAGCCCCCGGGCCCACCCAGACACCGGCGCCAAGCTCCGTGAGCGAGGGCTCCCCGTCCCCGCCAGGGCCGGCGAGCAAGGGCAGCCTGGACACCATGCTGGGGCTGCTGCAGTCCGACCTCAGCCGCCGCGGCATCCCCACCCAGGCCAAGGGCCTCTGCGGCTCCTGCAATAAAGCCATCGCTGGGCAGGTAAGTGGAGCTCTTCACTGACCCGCCTTCACTGAGCTCCGGCCCCATGCTGCCCCTTCTAATAACCAGCTCCAGAAAGGGGGTATTACTGTCATTCATGTTTTATGACCGAGGAAACGGAAGCTCTGAATCACACAGTAAGTAAGGAGCAGGGTGAGGATCCCAACCCAAGTACCACGTGGTCCTCCTACGTGCTCCCTCACAAACCCCCCTCACCTCACTCCAGGAGAGCCTGGGGCTCACCCCACAGACGGTTTTCCTCCACCACAGTGTGGTGCTGGAGCCCTGGTGCGTAACTGTGCCAGGTTGTTGACGGAGATCCTTCTGATAGATAAAGTGCTCTGCTTCCATCCCAGAATTCCCATCCCAGCAAAGCAGGTGGCATTAGGACTTTCATGGGCCGTAAGGCACTCTCACCTTCATGGGTCCCTTCCTCCATTAAAAAAAATATTAAAATGTGTATTTTATGACTGTGTTAGTACAAAGATGAATATATTAATATTATGTATGAAATATGTTCTTGTAGCTCATTTTTTCCCTTCTGATTTTAAAAGAAATGACAACATTTTTGTGGTCTCCTAAGAAGTCCTGAGGGCCGCAGGCTCTGTGCTGGAAGACCCGGGCTGACTCTCCATCACTGACAGACTGAGTGGCTTGAAAAGTGCACCGTGAACCTCGGCTCTGACCCTGGCCTCAACCCCACCCCGCAGGTGGTGACTGCGCTGGGGCGAGCCTGGCACCCGGAGCACTTCGTCTGTACTGGCTGCTCCACCGCCCTGGGCGGCAGCAGCTTCTTCGAAAAGGACGGAGACCCCTTCTGCCCCGAGTGCTACTTCGAGCGCTTCTCCCCGCGATGCGGCCTCTGCAATCAACCCATTCGCCACGTGAGCCCTGCCGGCCCACAGCTAGGCCCTCTCCCCCAAGGAGCCGGGGATGGGCCTCATCCACTCCTGACCCCTCCCTCCAGCCCCCCCACCCCACCCCTAGCCCTGTCCCTTGGCCTCTTCCCCTCTCTCTTTGGCTCCCAAGTTCCTCCTGAGGTCTCCCTCGCCTTAACTCCCAGTTCCACCCGCTCACCGAGGTCCGGTGGGAGGGGGAGGAAAGAAGGGATGGGGGGGTCATAGCGTGTCCACTCTCGTTTCCTACAGAAGATGGTCACCGCCCTGGGCACCCACTGGCACCCGGAGCATTTCTGCTGCGTCAGTTGCGGGGAGCCCTTCGGAGACGAGGGTGAGCGGCTCCCACTGGACGCCAGGGTCTGCCGGACACCCCGCCCTGCGGCCTTTGGCCCAGCCCCGCCCCGAGACCTCTCAGTCCTGGGCTGAGGGTCCCACCCATCCCCTCCGCTCTCCCGCCCCCAGGTTTTCATGAGCGCGAGGGCCGCCCCTACTGCCGCCGGGACTTCCTGCAGCTGTTCGCGCCGCGCTGCCAGGGCTGCCAGGGCCCCATCCTGGACAACTACATCTCGGCGCTCAGCGCGCTCTGGCACCCCGACTGCTTCGTGTGCAGGGTGCGCGGGGGGCGGGCCGGCTCGGAGGCGGGGCCTGGGTGGGGCGGGTCTGAACCCGGGGCGGGGCGGGGCCTGGGTCTCGGGGGCGGAGCGGGGGCCGCGGGACGGGGCCTGGGCGGGGGGGGGCCTCCTCTCGGTGAGACGGGGGTCGGGGCGGGGCGGGGCGGGGCGGGTGGTTGGGTTCCGACAGCGCGGTCCCGGCGCGAGGCTCCGCTGCCCCCCTCCGCAGGAGTGCTTCGCGCCCTTCTCGGCCGGCAGCTTCTTCGAGCACGAGGGCCGCCCGCTGTGCGAGAACCACTTCCACGCGCGGCGCGGCTCGCTGTGCGCCACGTGCGGCCTCCCGGTGACCGGCCGCTGCGTGTCGGCGCTGGGCCGGCGCTTCCACCCGGACCACTTCACCTGCACCTTCTGCCTGCGCGCGCTCACCAAGGGCTCCTTCCAGGAGCGCGCCGGCAAGCCTTACTGCCAGCCCTGCTTCCTCAAGCTCTTCGGCTGACCCCCTACCCCCCAAACCCTCCTCCCCCTCCCCAGACCCTCCTCCACGGTGCTGCCCCCCCCCCCCCCAGGCCGCTCTGGGAGCCGGGGGCTTCCCAACCCCCACCCCCACCCGTGAGCACCGCCCGCTGGAGACGCCCCGGTACCTGACTGCGCTCTCCGCGGGCAGCTCAGGAAAGGCCCGGCCCGGCCCCATCCACGCGCCCCCGAGGGGCCCGCACACCGACCAGCACCCCTCCTGCGCCTTCACTGATCCCCACCCGAGGGACCCCCGATGCAGGAGACCCGGGCCGGAGCCCCGCCCCCCGCCCTCACCGCTCTGTGCACTTTTCTACATAAACACGCGGTCCATGTCGCCCTGGTTCTGTGTCTGCGGGGAGCCGCGCTTCGTGCCGGTTCTTCCCGCAGCGGTTCCACGCCGCCCGGTTGGAGGGACCTGCGGGATGGCGCACCGGGCAGAGCTTTCCGCCGCCCTCACCACCCGCTAAGCCCTCTGTATTCTTGAAATGAGCACTTAGGCTGTTCCTTCCCAACTCTCCCGCCCCCGCCGTCTTATCTGGTTTCCAGATGTTTCCCCCTCCAGAGTGTCAGTGGTGCCCACCCTCTGGGCCTGGGCACTAAGGCACAGCTTCCCTCTTACTGGCGTTGACTCAGCCCTGGGCAGAGGGTGACACTTGGTGTGGTCAGGGCAGGGCTGAGGGGAGCACTGGGGCTGGAGGAGCCAGAGGGAGGCTTCTAACTGGGAGTCATCAAAGAAGGCTTCCTGGAGGAGGTGACACCCAAGCTAAGCCCAGCGGAGGAAGGCCAGGTTTTAGGTGAGGAGAGGATCAGGCTCCATCCGAATCTCCAAGCCCCAGGGGCCTTTCCGAGCCCCAGAACCTTTACCTCGGACTCTGCAGTTCCCTAGGGAGGGGGCATGGACTCCGGGGTCTGAATTACAGGGAACTTGAGGATGGAAAAGATGGGCCCTCAGAGCCCCTTCCAGCTCAAGGAGGAGCTAGCAGCCAGAGAGAGCATATGGGAAGAGACACTGGTGTTATCTGCCCTGGCCTCGGGCAGATGCCAGATTCCTCTCCCTGCTCTTCCCCAGCCTCCCACTCTTCCCCTACCACATATTCTCCCTGGACAGTGCATCCATCCTCATCTACACATAATTCCCTAAACATAACCACCCCCTGGCTGAGTACGCTCAAGTCGGCCATCTCCAGTCTCCACTCACTCCTCTGCCAGCATCTGCTGAGCACTCGCTGTGTCAGGCCCACACCGGGTGCTGGGACCATAGGAGCATGGTCCTTGCCCTCGTGGAGCTGAAATCTAGTGTGTTGGGGGGGGGGGGGGGAATGTGGGGGTGACAGTGTGATGAGCTGAAGTTGGTTCACCGCCCTTGTTCCTACCACAGCACCTCCCCATCCTGCACATCCCTATCACAAATACATGTTTACTTGTTGCTCATTTATGTCTGTTTCTGCAACTGGAGTGCAGGCTCCGGAGAGCCCGTCAAATGACATATTTATCTGTCAGCTGACATGGCCTCTCCAGCGTCTGGACTGGTATCGGTTAAGTGGTAAGTGCTCAGTAGATGTTTGTGAAAGAAGGGAAGGTGGGAAAACGAGAAGGAAAAGGTAGAGAACTCGGCGAAGGTGAGGAGGATTACTTTAACCAGCTGTCAGAGAAGGCCTCTGTGGCAATGTCATGTCTGAGCAGCAACTTGGTTGAGAAAGAGCCAGCCAGGCGAAGAGCCTGAGGGGGCGTTCTGGGTGCAGGAAGCAGCAGGTGCAAAGGCCAGGCGGTAGAGAGAGCTGGGCAGGTTGGAAGAAAGGCAAGGCCAGCGTGAGCAAAGGGGAGAGCAGCAGGCGATGAGGTCAAAGAGAAAACAGGTGCCACGTCCTGAAGTGCTGAGGAGGCCACAGTGAGGCCAACAGCCCCATCACCCTCTGTACTGGCCCGATTCTCTCAGGCACTTCAGATTCACCACCTGGAGCAGACGCTGTGGCTGCCTGCCCACAGCTGCTCAGCCCACCTCCCAGCTGCTTCCCGGGTATCTGTCTGAGGGTGCTCTCTGGGGGAGGAGTGTGCTCTTGCACCCCACAAGGCTGAAGTGGGGGGGGGGGGGGACTTCTGTAACCTCTAACTAGTTAGAGACAGGAATTGGCGAAGAGACACCGAGCTTCCTGGCTGCTTGAGGGTCAGTTCTGAGGTTGTTCTCCAGTCTCAGAGGACCCCCATTGGGGCTGGATTCCAGCTGTGCACGGCGGTAACCTGCCTGTGGACACACCCTTCTCTGGCTTTTCGCCTTTCTTTGTCTTCTTTCTCACTCCTTCACGGTTCCTATTGGGATCACCCCACCTCCCCAGTGGGTAAAGTCCTTGCACTCCACTTCTCATGTCTGGGGTCTGCTTTGCTTTTTTTTTTTTTTTTTTTTAATCAATCTTTATTGTTCATATTATTACAAAGGTTCCTCATTTCTTCCCCCCTCCACCAGGTTCCCATCCCACCCTCCGTCCCCTCCTCATCCCCCATTGTCCTCATCCATAGGTGCACAGTTTATATTCAGTCTCTTCCCGCATCCACCACTCCCCCTTTCCCCAAGAACTGTCAGTCCACTTCCCTCCCGTACCTCCGACTCTACTACAATCAACAGCTAATATTGTTCATCAAGTTTTTCAATCTCCTTTTTTTTTGTTTGTTTTTTGTTTTGTTTTTTTTAATTAATAAACTTTTACACTTCTAAGAATAAATTTTAAAATCTAATAATTTTAAACCTTGTTTTTTCTGCCCTGGGAATTGAGAGCAAACTTGTTTACATGTAAACTTGCCCTTAGGCTATCAAAAGGTGTAGCCATTCAAATGTAAATGAACACATTGTTTAAACATAGCTGTTGGTTGGAATTGGATTACCTGTTCTGGGTGGGAAGGGCTTGTCCTCCCCTTTCTCCATTAAAATTAAGGTGTTAGCTTTCAAACCTCTTTTTGGCAAGAGACCTTAAACTTTCAGAACTTTAAATTTTTCAGATAGTAAATCAGTTACTTAGCATTTTCTCAAATCAATAATACCTCCACATGCCCAAGGATACACTTCACACAAAAGACATTTTCAAATAGATCAACCAACCTCATCCAGACCCCACACAAGGCACTCACAGATCAACACCCCAGCCCTATACTAACTCAACACATCCAGATCTAAGCCTTCATCACTTGATTCAGCAGACCCTCAAGTTCCCCCAAAAGTTTCCAGCCATGTCTGAGAGGCAGCTCTGGGGCGTGGGCAGGCGAGGAGCAAGCTGTTCCGGGCCTGGCCTCTGTTGCTCTGGTCCCTTCCACAACCAGCTGTTCTGGGTCTGGCCACTGCCGCTCCCGGCCTGGCTGCTGCTCCCGGCCTGGCTGCTCTGGGGTCTGCTTTTAAGGCATTCTCTAAACATAATTCATTCACTTCCCCTAAAATGCCCCACTCAGGCATGAGCCCAATGGCCATGGTCAGACGTCCGAGGCTGGCCAATCCTAGAAGAAAGGCGAGACACAGCTCTTCCCCAACTCGGGGACGGACCAGAGCACGTCCAGCTCTTGGGGGGGCTCTAGCCTGTTGGGGAGATAGAGATGGGCCCAGATAAGGGCCACTCTGTGTGCCGGGAACCGTATCAGAAAAGTCCGAGAAGTCTTTGTAAGGCAGTCACAGGGCTGGGTGCCGAGGGCCGAGTAGGATTTGGCAGGGAGGCATTCTAAGCAGAAGGCACAACTCACACAAGTTTGGGGGTATGAACGTACACACGTTGGCAGGGCCAAGAAGCAGGAAGGAAACTAGGTTCGGTTGGGGGCAAAGGCAAGGGTGGGCAGAGTTGGGGGCTGGCAGGCCCTGAACATCAGGTGCGAAGCTCCCGCGCCCTCCTGAGTGCTTCTGAGAGGCACTGGCACTGTCAGGTTAGGCTTCGAAGATGATCCTTCTGGATGGATCAGAACCAGGGAGCTGGCTCCCCCAGACTCCCCAGGTCAAGGCTGAAAAGTGGATGAAGTGGTTTTTAGGGGCGAAGTGGTTTTGAGCGTGAGGCCCAGGGAAGGGGTGGGGGCTGAGGCACAGGAAACAGCGTTCCCAAACTTGAAAGGGTCCACCTCCCAGGACCAGCCTCCGGCCTCGGTGTGGCCTGATTCAGCTAAACAAAGGCGGGGAGGGGGGCCACGGCCTGGGCGATTTGTCAGCTCACTGCACCTGAGGTAACCATTAACCCCTCCCCCGGGGGAACCCGGGGCCTGGTCCCTGGAGGTGCAGATCCCGGCAGAATGGAGGAGCACACAGAGGCAAGCTTGGCACCGGAGCTGGCGGAGCAGAGGGTCTTAATTGACAACCCTGCTGACATCCTGGTCATCGCTGCTTATTTCCTGCTGGTCATTGGTGTTGGCTTGTGGGTGAGAAGCTGAGGGGGTGCCGTTAGGGCCAGGTTTCGGGGTCTGGCGCAGGGAGACTGCAGGTGGCAGTAGGGGCAGGATGCCTGGATCCTTGAGGGAGAAACCAGGTGTAGGGGGAGGAGCGGGAGACTTATCCCCCAAATAAGTCTGTTGGTAGCCATAGGGAGGCCTAATCCACACTCATTCTTTGTCTCCCGTCCTTGGGTTGGCTGTCCTCAGGGACAGCATTCTGAATGAGGCCTCTGTCCACCATCTATGTTAGGGGTGTCGAACTCAATCAGAGAAGGGGCCAAAATCTAAAATCCAGCCTAAATCTCGGGCTGAATGGTTTACTGAACAGTCATAAACTGTCATTGTGATGGAAACACAGCGGAGTGCAGTGATGACAGCACGGTGCGGGCCACATTGCAAGGCCTGGCTGGACGGATTTGGCCCGTGGGCCTTGTGTTTGACACATGTGATCTATGTTATGGCCGACAGAAGCCCCTGGCCCAGGAAAGCCAGGCCATGGGCTTCTGTTAGCTACACTCAGGCTTGGGAAGTTGGACAACAGCTTAGGACCGTGGTCAGCAAACGGTGGCTCGAGAGCCACATGTGCTCTTTGGCCCCTTGAGTGTGTGGCTCTTCCACAAAATACCACGGCCTGGGCAAGTCTATTTTGAAGAAGTGGCGTTAGAGGATGTTTAAGTTTAAAAAAATTTGGCTCTCCAAAGAAATTTCAATCATTGTACTGCTGATATTTGGCTCTGTGGACTGATGGGTTTGCCGACCGCTGGCTTAGGGCCTAGGTGGCCCTGTGGGCCTGGGAAGAGGTTGTGGGGGTGGGGTGTGAATCATCGGGGAGCAGAGCGGGTTAATCTTCAGCCTGAAACAAGGCTGAGGAATGTGTTGAGACGGCTAATGAGGTCCAAAGACGTGCCCTGAACCCAGGTCTCCCCCGACTCCTGTCCCCCA